TCAATTATAATTTTAGGAATATATATATAAAACGATCGGGTACACAGAAAAATCCATAGACAATTCATCGTGACAATAATGGCATAACAATTTGTATGAAAAACGTCGATCAACATTCGACTTAACGATAGATTGCATTTGCCAACAAGGTCATTGTATCGACCTTAAAATTTGCAAAATGTTGACCTTAAACAGGACTGTTGATATCCTCTGTATCATCAAATTATTTACCAAAAGCGTGCCTTGTTTTAGAAATTGTTCGTGCGTAGAGCATGCTCTTGCGTATCGAATCAAATAGGAGACAAAAACTCAATATGCAGATGATAAATGATAATGGTATGTTGCTGCATAAATAATGGAAGTGTTGAGGATACAAAAGTTAAAGTTATCACGTTTATCATAAATTTTGGTTCTTAGTTTGCCATTGACGTCTTTTACTAGTAAAATAATCAAATATGAAATAGATGTGCTAGACTCTGTGGTGTTTTTTTCAAAGGGATATATCGAATCAACCTGCGGAATGAATATTGTTAACTGACAAAACGTCATCGATATATCTACATGTTAAATGTCGAATTGAAGACCACAACAAGAAACTTGTTCTATTCATGTAAAAGTTTTTGAATAAATTTGTGAAACACTTAAGCCCCCCTCCCCATAAGTGGAATTTTTCTAAGTCCAAGGGGCATAACTCTGTCAAAAATTGCTCGATCGTACCCAAAAACAGAACTTGACCTAGATATACTTATGATAAATCTGTATACCAAATTCCATTTCCGTATGTGCAACCTCTGCGAAGAAAATGAACGAAAACTGTTGGTGGACTGACAGACAGACAGACAGACCGACCGACTGACTGACGGACAGCGGCAAAGCAATATGCCCTTCGAAGGGGGGCATAAAATATGTCTGCTAAGAATGGAGCACAATTAATTCCGATGGGAATTCCAAGAGATTGTTGGACTTGATCTCAAAAAACTACAAAAATACATGTATTGTCAGAAACTCAAGCATCTTTTAATATAACCTTTGAAGTAACTGTATGTACAATCAAAATGCTCTTTAACAAAATAGTTTTGGAGATGATCAATGACAAGGAATGCTCAGCATGTATATTAACGAGTTCCTTTTTTTTTTTTAGCTCACCTGAGCCGAAGGCTCAAGTGAGCTTTTCTGATCACATTTTGTCCGTCGTCCGTCCGTCTGTCTGTCTGTCTGTCCGTCCGTCTGTAAACTTTTCACATTTTTGACTTCTTCTCAAGAACCACTGGGCCAATTTTGACCAAACTTGGTACAAAGCATCCTTGGGTGAAGGGGAATTTAAATTGTTAAAATGAAGGGCCAAGTCCCCTCACAAGGGGAGATAATCAAGAGAAGACAAAAATAGGGTGGGGTCATTAAAAAATCTTCTTCTCAAGAACCACAGGGCCAGTAAAGCTGAAACTTATATGGAAGCATCCTGGGGTAGTGTAGATTCTAAATTGTTCAAATCATGACCCCCGGGGGTAGGGCGGGGCCACAATAGGGAATCAATGTTTTACATAGAAATATATAGGAAAAATCTTTAAAAATCTTCTTCTCAAGAACCACTGGTCCAGAAAAGCTGAAACTTATGTGGAAGCATCCTGGGGTAGTGTAGATTCTAAATTGTAAAAATCATGACCCCCGGGGGTAGGGCGGGGCCACAATAGGGAATCCAAGTTTTACATTGAAATATATAGGAAAAATCTTTAAAAATCTTCTTCTCAAGAACCACTGAGCCAGAAAAGCTGAAACTTATGTGGAAGCATCCTGGGATAGTGTAGATTCTAAATTGTTCAAATCATGACCCCCTGGGATAGGGCGGGGCCACAATAGGGAATACAAGTTTTACATTGAAATATATAGGAAAAATCTTTAAAAATCTTCTTCTCAAGAACCACTGAGCCAGAAAAGCTGAAACTTATGTGGAAGCATCCTGGGATAGTGTAGATTCTAAATTGTTAAAATCATGAGCCCCGGGGGTAGGGCAGGGCCACAATAGGGAATCCAAGTTTTACATTGAAATATATAGGAAAAATTTTAAAAATCTTCTTCTCAAGAACCACTGAGCCAGAAAAACTGAAACTTATGTGGAAGCATCCTGGGATAGTGTTGATTCTAAATTGTTAAAATCATGACCCCCGGGGGTAGGGCAGGGCCACAATAGGGAATACAAGTTTTGCATTGAAATATATAGGAAAAATCTTTAAAAATCTTCTTCTCAAGAACCACTGAGCCAGAAAAGCTGAAACTTATGTGGAAGCATCCTGGGATAGTGTAGATTCTAAATTGTTCAAATCAGGACCCCCGGGGGTAGGGCGGGGCCACAATAGGAAATACAAGTTTTGCATTGAAATATATAGGAAAAATCTTTAAAAATCTTCTTCTCAAGAACCACTGAGCCAGAAAAGCTGAAACTTATGTGGAAGCATCCTGGGATAGTGTAGATTCTAAATTGTTCAAATCAGGACCCCCTGGGATAGGGCGGGGCCACAATAGGGAATACAAGTTTTACATTGAAATATATAGGAAAAATCTTTAAAAATCTTCTTCTCAAGAACCACTGAGCCAGAAAAGCTGAAACTTATGTGGAAGCATCCTGGGATAGTGTAGATTCTAAATTGTTCAAATCATGAGCCCCGGGGGTAGGGCAGGGCCACAATAGGGAATCCAAGTTTTACATTGAAATATATAGGAAAAATTTTAAAAATCTTCTTCTCAAGAACCACTGAGCCAGAAAAACTGAAACTTATGTGGAAGCATCCTGGGATAGTGTTGATTCTAAATTGTTAAAATCATGACCCCCGGGGGTAGGGCAGGGCCACAATAGGGAATACAAGTTTTGCATTGAAATATATAGGAAAAATCTTTAAAAATCTTCTTCTCAAGAACCACTGAGCCAGAAAAGCTGAAACTTATGTGGAAGCATCCTGGGATAGTGTAGATTCTAAATTGTTCAAATCATGACCCCCGGGGGTAGGGCGGGGCCACAATAGGGAATCCAAATTTTACATTGAAATATATAGGAAAAATCTTTAAAAATCTTCTTCTCAAGAACCACTGGACCAGAAAAGCTGAAACTTATGTGGAAGCATTCTGGGGTAGTGTAGATTCTAAATTGTTCAAATCATGGCCCCCGAGGGTAGGGTGGGGCCACAATAGGGAATCCAAGTTTTACATTGAAATATATATAGGAAAAATCTTTTAAAATCTTCTTCTCAAGAACCACTGGACCAGAAAAGCTGAAACTTATGTGGAAGTATCCTGGGGTAGTGTAGATTCTAAATTGTTCAAATCATGACCCCCGGGGGTAGGGCAGGGCCACAATAGGGAATCCAAGTTTTACATTGAAATATATAGGAAAAATTTTAAAAATCTTCTTCTCAAGAACCACTGAGCCAGAAAAACTGAAACTTATGTGGAAGCATCCTGGGATAGTGTTGATTCTAAATTGTTAAAATCATGACCCCCGGGGGTAGGGCAGGGCCACAATAGGGAATACAAGTTTTGCATTGAAATATATAGGAAAAATCTTTAAAAATCTTCTTCTCAAGAACCACTGAGCCAGAAAAGCTGAAACTTATGTGGAAGCATCCTGGGATAGTGTAGATTCTAAATTGTTCAAATCAGGACCCCCAGGGGTAGGGCGGGGCCACAACAGGTATTACAAGGGGGGAAGTCTGGTAATGAACAGCATGGCCAAAGTTACTCAGGTGAGCGATGTGGCCCATGGGCCTCTTGTTTTTTATTGAAAAGGCATTTTATTGAAAAAGCAGCTGTCTATGATATTAAAAAGACTAGACTTTATTTCATCATGGGCAATGGTTATTCATCAAAT